AATGATGCTTCTAATCAGATCAGACACCAGATGTCTTGTACTTGAACAATGTATACCATACAAAAGGCTGAGAACTACATTTCTTCAGAGTGCTGGCAAACTCTAACCTGCCAAAGCAGTGTATCTTGAAACTCAGGTTTAGAGAAAGGGATGGTTTCTGGGTCAATGAGCTGTGAAATGCAAATTGAGATCACTATGTGTCATCAGAAAAAGCAAATGCTAATTTTAGAGGCATCTAGTATGGAAATTTCCCCCCAGAACTTTAATCCACTGCATGAAGACAATATGTGATGACATTTTACAAATATCTGGACAGCAATCTCAAAGAAATTAACCCAGAAGGACAAGGGATATAATGTATTCCCAACAAAATGTACAGGGGAAATGTCTTCTACAGAAGTTACTGTTAGTTAATTTAATGAAAATTATTAATAAAAATATCTTCCAACGTGAAAATATGAAAATTCATTTATTTCCATAGGCAACCTAATTCAGAGTACAAAGTGATGTGGATTTCTCAAAACTGTCATTGTACCTTTTACATAGCTTTAAAGTAACTGATCTAAAAGTTGATACAAGAATAATTTTGGTTTTGAAGAGCTGTCCAATAAACCAGATATACACTAATGCCATGCTATGACAGTTCTATTTATAAATCACGGCTGACACAACAACAGTATCACTATAAATCTCATGAGAATTTTAATGTTTTACAATCAGAACATAAAACTGCCACTAGTACAGAGACTGTACAATTTGACAAATAAACAAGTATTAAATATTTTGCACAAGGCCTGAGTTCACTATAACACATTCTGATTTACAGCTTCATCTCAGAAATCTGTACAGCAGTTAGACCTGTTCCAGAGAATTTAAAGAAATACAACTTCAGGGCTTATTTGTTATGTTGATACAAGGGTGAGGCCTGAAAGGCAACAGGATTTGGTGTGTGAATCCAAGGTTTTACTGCCTTGTGTAACTTTCTTTCAAAGCTGTCAACACGTAATGGAAGGTAATGTACAAGGCAGAACCTCACTTGAAAATCAGCCAACTCATCTAAAATTCTCCAGATAGGTTTCCTCACAGCTTTCCAAAGGAAAAGTTCACAATGAATATATAAAATGCAGCATATCTCTTAAAGAAAAAGAAGGATTACATATACAACAGGGTATTTATTTCTGTATTCCCCCACCCTTCTTTCATTGGAAATGGCACAAATGACCAAAATCCCACCCAACCCCAATAAAAACCCCTAATCAATAAGCAAAGGTCACTCCAAAGTCCAAAAACTTCATTGTAATGCAAGATCCAGTAATGCAAGATCAAGTGTTCATAAACTTATGTTTCAAAAACTTTCCTTTTCTGCTCAAGTCACACAGATGTAGGCAGACTAAGCATGTATTACTTATAATAGATAACACAAGTATCATATAATTCTTAGCCTGTATGGAAGCTTTATGGAATTTGATTCAAATCTAACTTCTCATTTAGTCTTGTTTTTTCGGTGCAGTTGAAATGAAAAATCAAAAAATCCTATAATCTAGAATATAATCACACTTATCTATCTACAGACATAGATAACATTACAAAAGAGCTTATAATACAAAAGTCAACATACATTTTTCTTACTTTAAAAGGCAATCAGGGTATTTGTTAAGGTTCCAGAAAAATGTGAACCACTTGTTGCTAAAAAGACAAAACAGAAAAGGAAAGTTTTAAAGAATAAGGCTTGAAATGTTGTGCACCTACGCATCCAAAAATTCAGCCTTTTACTTGGGGTACTCAACACCTGTGTAAGGCCACAACTTCTCCACAGCATTTCTTATTCACAGTGAGGAGAACATAGCATCTTCATTAAAAAACCTAGCATCCACCCATGCTCCCAGTAGAATTTCTCCCCATCTCCCAAATAATTGGTAACTCCTTTACCTTTCAAAAGACTCAACTGGTACTGCTGCCCCCTGAATAAGCAAGTTCCAAGGGCTGTTCTGTGCCTTATTCGCACCACTCATGTGATGAAAAGAAACAGAAGATCGGTTCCCTCGGTGTCCAGTGACACCTTTGCCATTTCATTCCTGGTTTCTCTCAAGAGTCAGAACTAGGGGCTTCTCAGATAATCTGAAACTCAGTAGTTTTAAGGTTCTCCATCAACCCAAGTAGAGAAGGTTTTTCAAGCCTCTTTAATACAATCCTTCCCTCTAGCAGAATTAGTTTTTCTGTGACTGAGTTTTGAGAGGATGCTTCAGACACTTTCATACTTAAACCCAAATGGAACCAAGAGCTCTAATATGGAAAACACTGCTGTCTTGGTGCAGTCATGTTCACTTAGCATACACCAGAGCAGCCAAAGCATAACTGATGTAAGATGTGCAGCTATTTTCACGTAGCTTCTCCTTTTGTAGAAAACAAAATACAGATGAATCACTTAAAGAATAGGAACTTATGCCCTTCCAGTTACCTCCCCTTTACAAATGAATGTAAACTAGATGGGCTGGGCATTTCAGCCCAGACCTCATCCTCATTTCCACAGTAGAATGAAGACATGCTGACGGTGTGTGAGCAAAGTGGTGCACAGTGGCTGCTGTGATGATACAACCTGACAGGCTTTCACATTTTTCCTTTAAATTAGGTTGAATATGAAGGGCAGAAATTTAGTGTAATTTACTGTCTTCCTCAAGGCATTGTAAAGAATAACTTATTACCGGCTTACTATTTCATTAACAGCATTTGTAGTTTCTTAACCAGGTACCAATTTCAAACCTGTGTTCTCTGCTGTACTTTACATGAGGACTAAGCAGACTCTCTGCTTCAGGCCAAGCTAGATGTAGCACTGCTTTCCATCCAAGCTCAGCCACAGGAGGCTCCTGGAATACCAACATTTTGTAACATTGTTCCTTCCCCTCTGTCTTTCCCAAAAACCAACTTGGATGCGAAGCATAACTGCTGCTCTCAAACAATTCACTATGGCCACAAAACAAGTCTTCCAGCCTCTTGCAGGGCCTCAGAACCACAACTTGTAAGGGCAGAGATCAGTTGGCCAAGGATTCCTAAAGAAAAACTATTGTAGCAGGAGCCAAGTGGCACATGGCCTTGGTGACTTACCTCTTGCAAGTTCTCCTTCCTTTAAGTTAAGAAGAAATAATTTGAGAACTTCAAACTCATTTTGACACACTAAGCAAGAAGCATCTATGTGGAAAAGGGATTGGACTCACTGCTTTTGTTTTATTGGGTTTTTAAAAAAAAATTAAGTAACTGGAAGATTTTGTTAGAGCTTTTGTAAGCACCCTTTCCAGTTTTCTTTCTTGTTCTTCCACTCTGGGCATTCTGAAAATTGCAGCAAACAAGAGAAATCAAAGTTATGCTCTCAAATATAAGTGGAAAAAAGTCCTATTGCTTGAGTCAGATAAGACCTTATTCCATTGCATTATGACTTCAAAAAAGAGCTTATTTTAATTTGAACCTGTAGGATTTATTTTTACTTTGTTCTTACAAAATAGATTATGTTCTGGTATAGCCCATGCCAAAAGCACATACCCCAAACCACACAGTTTAGGAGGTCTAGTGAATGAAATCAAATCATTTTTTTTCCACTTTCCCTGCAATAGGTTAAACTAAATCCAGTTCTGAAAAGCTCCCAGTCCAGAGACATCAGTGACTGAAACCCCAGATCAGGACACTGACTTTTAAGACCGCCTTTGCCATAGATACATTAATTTGATACATTGTAGAGTCCTATGAGATGTTGTTTCTAATATAAACTTATTTTCCAAATAATTTAGAGGAATACAGATTCAAGTAATTCTTCAAAGGATTGCCTTAGGTTACCCTAACAAAACACAGCTTTGAAGAAGACATGAGTGTGACTGAGAGTATACAGTGCCAGCAACTGTAAATGAACTTATATAGCTCAACTGTTCTAGTATTGTACTTAGATTTACATGGATATTTTAACATTACCTACAATGCTTACCATGAATATTAACAGCACATAAGCATCACAATGTATTAGGTATTGTTTTCCAGACCACGAATTTATTGGTCCCGGGTATTTTAAAATAATAGGACTAATGCAGCAGCTATAATACATAAAGAATTCTTTAAGAAATATGCTTAATGCTATAACAGCTTAGAACTGTGGAAGTATAACAAAATACAAGTCATATTTACAGCATAAGGCCCTTTGGTTTCTTAAGCAGCAAATGAAAGAAGAGTTTCTTCAGTGAAAGGCTTTGAAAAATAAAGCAAGTAGGCTTTCCATAAAAAAGGTAACTAGTTCTTTCCTTCTCAAAATAACCATTTATAGTCTTCAAAATACTAGGTAAGAAAGCTCTTGAAATTCTTAGAGAAAAAAAAAGTTAAAACTCAACAGTAGTATCTGAGAGAGCAGAGATTCCACCATGGGCAAGCTGAACATACACCTTCTGGAAGCAGAAGAAACTACTATTTGGATTTCTGGAGACCTTTATTGAATTTAGAATAATACAATAAAAAGGATCTGAAATACCTGTGTATTTGTCATACACTCTAGAGCTTACAAATCCATATTTGAGAAATCACTTCATGTCAATGTATCCTTCATAAGGACTTCATTTAAATCAAAAGTAAAATGAAATAGTTCACTCTAGCAAAGGCAATTTATGGCAGTCTGTTTTTCACAAAACCCTGTGCAAATTGTATAAGGTGATCCTTTTTCATCGTCAATTGAGCTAAAAATATTAATTAATTCAAGATGTTTCTGTGTAACTACGTAATGTGTGGTTAGTTACACAGTTGGGGCAGTCAACATGTGAATTTTACATTTACATTCATTTTTGAGGTTTCATAACTACAGGTTTTTTCACATCAGTTAGAAGCAATATCATATTAGCCAAAACAATGGAAAATACAGTAAATGTGATGAAATCACCACATATATTTTAAAATCCTGCTTAAGTGGTATGTTGCTTTTGCTATGGGGCTTGTAAGAAGGATCTAGCATTATAAACTCTAGAGCTTACAAATCCATATTTGAGAAATCACTTCATGTCAATGTATCCTTCATAAGGACTTCATTTAAATCAAAAGTAAAATGAAATAGTTCACTCTAGCAAAGGCAATTTATGGCAGTCTGTTTTTCACAAAACCCTGTGCAAATTGTATAAGGTGATCCTTTTTCATCGTCTCAATTGAGCTAAAAATACTAATTAATTCAAGATGTTTCTGTGTAACTATGTAATGTGTGGTTAGTTACACAGTTGGGGCAGTCAACATGTGAATTTTACATTTACATTCATTTTTGAGGTTTCATAACTACAGGTTTTTTCACATCAGTTAGAAGCAATATCATATTAGCCAAAACAATGGAAAATACAGTAAATGTGATGAAATCACCACATGTATTTTAAAATCCTGCTTAAGTGGTATGTTGCTTTTGCTATGGGGCTTGTAAGAAGGATCTAGATTACAAGAGATTGTAAACCAGCATGATCAACCTCTGAAGCAGCGTTCTTACCCTGTCCCAAACTTGAACCAAAGTTTAGAACAACTTCTTATGCCTGATGAATCTTGTTGCAGTCTACTACCACATTCATTACATTAGCTTATATGAGAGAAGAAAGTCAAAATACACTCCCTTCTTAGTCTCACCCATAGTTATGCGTTAGAGTGCTCTCTGTATAATTTGGTTATCAAAAGTTTTAGACCAGCATAAGAATTTTCTTTTTGCAAACTGTCATAGGACAAAATGACAGCTTATGACAAATTCAGGCAACATGAGTAATTCTCCAGGTTTGCATCCAACAGCAGCATTATCCCCTAAGCATTTTTGCTGAACTTTAACAAAATTGTGTAGGAAATTCCATTGGACTTGAATGGTTTAGCTCTGAATAATTTCAATATACTTCTTTTTCAGATGAATATATGCATCCTACCTTCAGCACTCTCATGTTGGTAAAAAGACAGGAAATCTTTAGCATGTAAGATTACTTTGGACTTACACAATTCCACTGCAGTACCAGGTGAATGAAACATCAGCCTTTTTTCCTGCCCAGAAGTCTTTGCTGGGTTGAAAGCTTCCCCAAGTCATGCTTTTATTAATAAAAACAAGATGTTAATCAGCTTACCCATGATCCAAATTTCACCAATCTTTGAAGGAAGAAAACAAAACATTTTACCCAAAAAGATCTTTTAAGTCATTGCTAGCTGAGCTGCTGCTTGTCATTGTGTTTGCTGGCTGTGCAAAGTTCTGAGGAGAAAAGAAAGGATTACCCTGTATCCCAAAGCCTGGCTGTGCTAGCATGTTCATCTGAGGTGCCAAGGCTGTATTGCTCGCATTTGGGGACCCTGGTGGTGGCACAAACTGATTAACCCACTGGCTTGATTTCTGCTGAGCCAGCTGCTTCATGCTAACTTTGGGTTTTTGAGGACCAAAAAGATTATCTAAAGCAGACATATCTGGGGGTCTGTTTTGTTGTGTCAGTGGAGAGATTGCAGATGCAGCATTCATAGGATTGTAATTTGGCATGTTGGCAGGTGGTACCATGCTCATCTTGGTTGCTCCTGTTGCACTTGGACCACTGAAGAAATTCTGAGTAGCAAGACCTGCTCCCATGGTGAATCCAGCAGTCTGAAACCCCATGTTTGTATTGAGTCCATTTGTCATATTTCTCTTTGTGTTGTCAATGGGCGATGAAAATCCCATTCCAACACCCACAGAAGGAACGGAAGAGAAGGTGTTTGAAGATGCAACTTGAGCTTGGTTGATAGGACGGCTGGTCAAAGATGACATGTTATCTATCAAGGTATCTGTCAAGTCTTTTGTCTGCAGAACATATAAAATGCAGTTAAATGTTTTTCCTTTACAGATACTCTGGCAACAGTATTTTATCATTACCCCTGCAGACCTGGTATTAATTTTTCAGAAATTAGAATTCACTGCACGGAACTGGGCATGAAATGTAGTAATACACAAGAGAAATTATTTTTGTTCTTTGTACTTTGTACTAATTGTTATGCAGTTTTAATTTCACATCTCAGACTACACACAAAGCACTAGTGTGACTGTTTGCTTAAATGCTCCACTCCTATCCCCAAATCCTATATATATTTCCTTAATAAACTCTTCAGAGAAAAACCTTTCTTAGTATGTCCTTTTACCTTATCTAGTACCATGACCTTCTGGTAATAATGATACCCTTGGAAACTCCAGCAATTTAAAAAGTTGGAATATTGCTAATGATGCAAATGGAAGGCACATGAAAATTTAATTTAGCTTTTCTCAGCTGTGCCGTTGTACCACCAGAGAAAACAAAAGTGACTCACAGGAGGAAAAAATGCTAAATGCATAGAGCTCTTGAAAAGGCATCAGAGTTCCAATGGAAACAGTGCAGTTGTTTGTTCTCTCTCACCTGCTTCACTGGAGGTGTTACTGTAGTTGTTTGGGGCTTAAGAGGTTGCTGGCTTTTCAGCTTCTGCGCCTGTTCTTGTTCTTTAGCTAACTTTTGCTTCTCTTCCAGTGTAAGTGAGGCCTTTAAAAGGGAAAGTACTGGTAGTAAGTTGCACAAAATGGTTATTCTGACATTCATATTATTATTTCATACGAGCACTGTTGTTTTAATAATATGTGGTAAACATTACAATTATTTATACAAAAGAGAAAGGCAATAAGTGAAATCTACTATAATATTTACCATATTGCTAGAAAGTACTTAAAGCAAATAAATATAATATTAAGAGCAGCACAGTAAGAAATTTGAGCAGATCTCAAATAAAAGAAATCTATCAGCAAAACCACTTTAGCTTTGTTTCCTTAATACTGGGCATAAGAAAAAGTGTTCTTCACAGTTTTTGTTTTTATATGGTTACTAACTTATCTAGAAATGCAATTGACCATGGAGTTGAAAAAGGAATTTCACTTTAAAACTGCTCAAGAGTCTTTTGAGGATTTAACCTCCACTTTTGTTAATAATGAAGGATGAAATAATTAAATCATTCCCCCTTAGCCTAAAATTAATGCAAGGATTCAGATAACTAGAAGGAGAAATGATAAAACATAAAGATTCTGGGGAGTCATTTCCATAATTAGTACAAAAAGAATTTTACAATACTTAAAGCTTATGTTTACTGTACTGCTGCTTATATTTGATGCTCTGCTACGTTTTTCCTTCACTTCTTGTATTTAACCACATATTGACTGTTTTCACTTAACTTTGAAAGGTACAGTAAAAGTTAGTCTCTACTACTACTTAAAATTCTACATTTTATCTTCATTTCTCTGTCATTTTATCATAAGCATCCCTATTTTGCTTTTCCTACCTATATCCAGTGGTGAAGTTTCAGTTTCATTTAAATCTATAATTAAGGAGAAAGAAAATGACCACAAATTTATAATCCTAATTGCTGCCTACTTTGTACAAACATATTTTCAAGGAAAGGCTTACACCAAAATTGAAGGATATGATCTGAACGTTTTTCACGGACCTTCTCATGTGACTATATAAAGCAGTTAGCTTTTCTACTAAGGCTTTAAATATGGTACCTATATACACACACTCTTTTTCTGCAACCCCATCAGCCTTGGATTAGACAGATGGGAAAAAAAGCATTACAAAATAAAACAAAGCACACCTTTCTCTGTATTGATGACATCTCATTCTCTTTACTATCAGATCCACTAGTTAGAAGGTCAGTTCCGTTATTAAATACTTTGTCAATCTGTTTAAGTTCAAAGAAAAAAAACTTTTGTTATTTGAAATACTTTGTAATATTTGTAATTTAAGGCTATGTAAATATCAACTAAGTGATTGTAAATTTCAATGTTCTATGTGTAAGTTATATATTGCTACTTACCTGATTGCCTGTACCACTAGATCTCGCCTCTTCAGCCCCACTCATTTGGTTGGCTATGTCCAAGGATCTACATAGTACAGAGTATATTACAACAAGACAAATTTGCAATCACATCTACAACACTAATCTAACAATGCAGATCATTCTTTTGCATTTAAATAACACCAAAAAATTGCATTGAGAGCAACCACTTCTCCATAGCGCCTTCAGCAGACTGGCAAATGTCCCTTTGAGAAATAGTAACATCTTTTAATAATTTCCCATGGTCTTCATTTCTCCCTTTGAACAGGGTGACCCAGACTTCAGATATCCCAAATTATTTTGTCTCAGAAATCTCACTTCATATCAGGCTCCATAAAATAACTCCAAATACTTCAAAATATCACAGCCTTCTAAAAGGCTGCAATTGTATACGTTTCTCTGATACGGTTTATTTCTCAGCAACTACAGGAAAGCAGCTTAGCACATAGAAGCAGATCTTCTGACAACTGTACTTATTTGAGATAATTCTCAACTACTGAACTTAGAATTACCTGATTTTTTTATTGCTATGGCTAGAGTTCTCTAACATTTGCCAAAAAATGACTACTTCTACAACACAAACATTAACACTTACTTCTGTTGCTCTTGCATGACATGAAGTTGCTCAAGTTTCGTTTTATGCTCTGCTTCCAATCTATTGAGCATATCTCTTATAACACAAATAAAAGAATTGAACTGGAAAAGAAATAAATAAGAAGTTTGGATTTTGCAGTGATGGAATCAGATAGGTGTAAGTTAGCAGGTAATACCTCATAAACCTACAATATACAACGTAAGAGGAAGTGCAGACTTTAAAATAATTTACACTCCACCTTCATTCTTGTGCAGTAGATAGCAAATTACAAGCAGAGTGCATACAGTGAAACAGGGAAAAATACAAGCCACTAAAAAAAATTGAAATGGGCGAATGCAGACAAAACCTCCACAGATGAGTATTACCAGATTCATATCCAAACAAACAAACAAACCTATTATTCCCTTTCCCAATATTTCATAGCATCATAGCATTTTATTTTAATGCTTATTATGTTAGTAGCTAACTGCTTTTGCAGGTATTTGGAAGGTGACAGTAATAATTTTGAATAATTTTGGGTCTTTTACACCAGATCAGTTAAATACACTAAAAAATAACAAGCTTCAAACATGGAAATACAGTAAAATTGGGAAGGGTCTTTCTATTGCTTATTTTTACAATAGACACAGACATGCAGTAATGTATGAGTTTCTTTATGACAACAGTTTAAATTCATTCTCTGATAACTGTCAAGGAAAAGTGTGCAAAACAGTCATGTTCCTACCTGATTGAGATTAAGATTGTTCTCAATACTAAGAGGAATCAGATGGGGCAACACTTTTCCTGCAAGCTGTTCTTTGGTAATTCCCAACTTCTTGTGCGTAAATGTACATTTGTAAATACCTAACACAGGACAAAAATAGGCGAAATTGTTAAGTTTAGTAAACAATGTGAACAAACTCGAAGTAGCACACTCATGTATTGATCTTCTGAGCAACCACTGTGCTTGTGTGTGAGCAGGGACAAACATGACCAAGAGAATATTAAAGGCTAAGTACCGACCCATGACAAATAGCAAGAGGCTTTGCTACAGTTCAGAACAAGATGTCCAAAGTCACACTTTGCAGCTATGAAACCTGGTATTAGTGAATGTATTGTTCTGGCAAATTACCTGAGAATATACATCTTTGAATGTGCAAGTGATTTGTCACAAACTGACACACTGTCACCTGAGAAATCAAGTTGCATCAACTAAGGATGTGTTCTCTCCTGGCTCACTACAAGTAGCTAGGATTAACTATCATCCTGCTCTCTGATGGTTTTTTAACAAAAACTATTAACTAGAAGGTTTGGACTGTTACACATAGTATCAGAACTCACGCTTAATCTTTATCTCTTTCAAATTCACTGAAAAAAGAACCCTGGCAGGCATGAAAGACCCAGTGTTAAGCCCAAACGTTCTGCAGAGTTTCTCTTCTGTAACTCTGCTGAAATAGTCCAAATTCTGGTGGCAAAAACTGAACATATTAGCATAAAATACACAGCAGCTTTCCTCACTTTCTATGGTAGTCGAAGAGAGCTGTCACCAAGACAAAGATGGTAAAGGATGGTATTATGATTCTGGAAGAAAAGAGAGCTTGAGTATATAAAACTGATTTCAGCCCATCATTTCCAAACTAGGATTCACTTACTGTATCTGAGTAGAATTCAGAATTAACACAACTAAAGCAAAAAGAGTCCCTTATTCTTAGATAGCAAATAAAAGTCAAAGCTGCAAGGGTTAAGGGAAACAGGCAGCTTTAGATCAGTACAGACAAGATGCCTTCTTGCTGCTTTTGAGCAAATAATGTTGCTATCACATATTAGTACAGTGTTTATTGAGGGTTACTGGCAGTGCAGCTCAGCTGTTACAATTGGTCTACACCACTTTGGTGTCAGGAGGAGAAATAGTCATTGTCTTCCAGACTTGGCCAAGGAGTCACAACTCTTCCTTGGCAGTGGCTCTGGTCATCTGGACTCCTTAAGGCCATTCAATTTGCTAAAATCACACACCCTGCAACAGGCAAGCACCAAGTGGCAGTAGGAAAGCTCAGGTGGGAGTGAGGTCTCCCCTCCCAGAAGTACCAAACCATTAGGCTTTGTCAGTCATTTTGGGAGACCTCACCCAGACTGTGTTCATTTCTGCCCACAGGCACAACTGCATGCCTAAATATCCAACAAAATGAGTCTAACAAAACCTGCTGTAAAGAATGGCAGATTTGTACACCATCATTTACAGCACCTGCCATGCAAGAGTGGTAAAAGAAGGCAACTGCAACATCTCAAAAGCTCCAGCATCTGAAAGATGACAGCTCATATATTCTTCTGAACAAAACAGCCTCTCTGACTCTGTGGAGCACCCAGTCCATGTAAGTGTCACAGCCCAAGAACTATAGCGAGTACTCAGAACTGCACCAGGCCCTAAGGACTGAAAATGTATGTACTAGTGCTCAAATGTCATAATAAGGTAACAGAACAGGGACATATTCAAGAATCAGAAAGTTTTTGATAGCCATTTTAGGGATACACTATGTAAACATGTTCAATGGTAACACAAAAAGCTCTTGGATTAACAATATCAAAGCACAAAAGAGAAAGTTGCAAGTATTTGTTACCTAAAATTCCCATGAGCACCGCAGGTTCCTTTGATGGAATTTGTTGTAGAAAAGGTAAAATATCATCAAGCACAAACCATTTATCCAAGTACTCCAAAATCTTGCCCAAACACACTAGTGAGTTTACCCGGACCTGTGAAGTACGATAACAATTAAACAAACTCTTTATTTATAGAAAAAAACCAAAACAAATTTACAAAACTCATAAGAAAGTCTTTGTACTGAAAAATTCAAGACAAGTTAAAAAATGCTAAGTTGTTAGCAACTTTAAAAATTGTTAGAGCAAAGAAATGCTGCTTCTGCACTTTTCAAAAGTTTTTAAAAAAAATTTCACTAAGAAATCAGAACACAATGATTGGCTTTTCTTTAAAGATACAACATGGTAAACCCAAAGTAATTAAAGGTTACAACATTTTCTGAACACTAGAGAATGTTACTATGATACTTACAGCAAGAGAAGAAGTTTGCAAACATGCATTTTTAATTCTTGGAATTAATGAATTTTTCATTGATGGATAATCTATTAAATTGGCAAACGTGGGAATTATGTTTAGGCAAAGCTCCTAAAAAAAAAATATCCACACAAGTTTAAAAAGAAACATGCATATTTATTATAAAATTAGTACTAATATAACTCAATATCAGTTAGTTTGAAGTGTCTTAAGCTTTCTTCTTCAGGAAATATTTAAAGAAATATGTTCAACTAAGCTACCCTTAATCTATCAGACTCACTTAAAAATAGCTAGAATAATAAAGCATCATGGTATGTATACAGAAGCTTCAAAAAAGAATTTTAGAAAAAAGAGCATTCATAAATTTATAATATTTAAACAGCAAGAATATCTTGCATTTTCACAAGGCTCTTTATATAAAACCCAGCTTTTACTACATCAAACTATCAATCTCTTACATAAATCAAGAAAATTTCAATGACTACTATCAGTAAGACTGCAGTACAATGATAGACTGAATAATAAAATATAATGTCAAAATTAACCATACTTTAGCAATAGAGAAAAAATAAACACATAATTTCAGACCAATCTCAAAAAAAAACAGAGACAGTAATACTAAGTGTATGTTGTAAGCAAACACCTCAGTAACCAAAGTACTGATGCAGAAGGAAACTCATGACAGATACTTAGAAACAAAAACCTTTGTCCCTAATATTACAAAGGCTTTGCAAAGGCAAAGTCACATCTGATTATCCAAAACTGCCTTTGAGAAATATTTTGTTTCTTTATTTCCCGCTCCTGTACGTTTTTGGGTAACTGGAAGTTAATTGCAGTTGAATGATTAAAAAAATCCCCAGAAGAACCTCAGAAAGGTAGAGAAAGCCTGAGGAGAAAAAAAATAATGGATATATAAAAATGTCACTGCAATGTATATTAATATGATTTTACAGCACATCAGGTCTCCTGAGGTAACTGTCAGCACAGATGTTCTCACCAGCAGGAGCTCAGAATAAGCCACCTCTCACTGACTGGTACAAGCATGCATGCCTGCATGGTTTCTGCTGCACAGGCAGTGAAATATAAATGCATATCCTACTTTCTGCTATGGTGCCTTGTAGGAATCTAAGATAAGAGTATTAGAACAACAGTCAAGTGGTTACCTTCCTGGAAAACAAGGAAACTAAATTTTACCTTAACAAAAACAAATGTTCTTTAATAAAGCATTCATCTCTTTCAACATTCAGGCATATACTTTTTTTTTTAAGTAAACAAACACATGATTATACAAAAAGTTGGCATATCAGCTGAAAGAGGAAAAAGAAAGTTTTAATAAAGGCTGCAACTACTACACCTGGATCTGAATCGAAGGTGCTTCCAAGGCTCTATAAACCATTGGTAGAACACTGTTCTTTATTTCATCTGGTGGAGTTTTGGTTAGAAGCAAATCCATTTTTTGCAGGAAGATTAACAATATCTATTCAGAGAAAGACAATTCAGAAGCCAAAATTTTAACTGCAAAGGATATATTTACAACTTGAAGTGTGTTGTATCATATCAAAAAACTTCAGAAGTTTTCTTATAACTCAGTAAATGTGATCACTTACCATGTTGCTTGCCTGAAGGCATGGAAGACAAAAAACACTTTGACATGTTATTGCATTTTAAAAACAGCAAATACAAATCAAACAAAATATGCATGTTCTAGACTGATTCTTCTGAAATAACAAATCATAATGACTCAGTAGGAGTTCTTGTTTCTACTTACAAGAACTTGTAAACAGCTCTTGTTTCTCTGTATGTTTTTTTGTTAATATACACCCACAGAAAATCTTTATACACACATCACTGTTACAAAAGCTAAACTTCCAAAAAACTGTAACTCAGATTCTGTCCTCAAAGCATTTGATCACAACTCCACACATATAAGCTGTATTCCCTGTATCTAAAATCAAAATAGGGACATAATAAAAACAATATTATGGCTACTAGATGGACAAAAAAGCCTTTATTCTATTTAACATGGAAACTGTGTATCATAAAATTATAATGATCTCAAAACAAAATATTCCCATCACATTAACTTAAAAAAACCCCACAATAATAGCACATATGCATAGTGGGATCCATCTTGCTTAAGATCAGCCATCCAAAGGTTAAACACTATTCTAAATCACTCAGCCATCTCAGTCTCAAATACAGAGCGTTATGTAACTCAGAAGATTCATACTACAACTCAGACAGGTACTAGAGGGGACAGTGAGAATATCCATTGACAGCAGAACTCCTTTCAGAAAATAGGTTCAAGTAGATGGATAAATTATGTCTAAAAGTATCACATTTATAACAAAAAGCCAAGTATTTTATAGGAAGACTTACATTTTTGTCTAAAAATACATGGCAATCAGTGCTTCTATGTCAAATAAACAGAAGTACTGAAGTGTAGAAACAGAAATGTACCAAGACCCCATTACAGATTTTCCCCTTTTATTCATTCCCCCTTCTCTTTACAGAGAAGAAAAATAGATTTTTACAGTGCAGCTAATATGTGTTTTCTTACTGGAAATTTATAATTTCCCAAACTGCACACACACACAAAATCATTCATTCATTCAATCATTCCATGAACATTGATTCTCATGTAATACCCCAATTATTTGGGAAAATCAGGGTGAAACGGATGAGACCAGTTTTAAAGCTAGATTTTATGTCTTTCTTCAATACACAATCCTTGTCCTAAACTTGAGATTCTAAGACTTACATGTTCTCTTAACACCTGTTCTTCCCTAACACCCTAACCATGTAATATTGTGGAATTACAGTTTCTATGTTTAAGCTTCCAGGATCCTATCTGATACTTTTTTATCTAAATAGGTAAAAATTAAGAAGGTACAGTCACAGATTTACACACACCATTCAATAAGCAATACACAGCAGTTGCACTCTAAGTAATAATGCTTTATTCATTAATGCAGGGCCCAGTACTTGTCAGGGAACACTTCTGTGTAGTGAGTTAGAAAAAGAATTTACAGCAGATCCTATGTCTGTGGAATCCTGCAGAGACAAATTAAGGGTTTGTCTGGGAAGATATGTCAGAGTAAGCCAGGATGTTAACATACAGCACACATTACTCCACACTAAGCCAGAGAATAACTTCATCTAAATATTCCATTTTCACATTATGAATTCCCTTACAAAAAGACACTGTGAACCCTAAATTTCTTCACATTGAATTAGAGCAGCTTTCCTATGATGCATTCATTTCCTAATTTCAATATCCTACTAAAGTCAAGCAACAGGCCCCTCATACAAATCTGTAACATATTGAAAGAATGTTTGGAAGAAACACTGGCATGTACCCTGAATGTTCTTCTCCAGGAGTTACAAGCACACAGAAATTAGACATTTCTGCCTTGCACAAAGACAGCCACACCTGGAAATCTATCCTCTGGCATTCTGAACCTCTGTAATTTTTTCCAGAATTCCTGATATATTAACTTTAAAAACATGACCTAGATTATTTAAACTTTGCAATACTAAAAAGACCATAGAAATAATAGTTGAATAAGCCATGCAGTCCTTTGCATTAAAAACACCAGTGTAAGAATTTAACAGTGTCTAGATAGTCACAGAAAAACTTTGCAAAGATCTGTATTTATGAGCTGACTCCAAGTTTGTATTTTGCTTCCTTCATCGCTCAAGATACAAACCAACTTTTGCGTCCATTCTGCTCCAGATGTAACTTTGCTACAAACTATTTGCAGCAAAGATTGTGTCACAAATCTAATGCTGAAGGCAACAGAACACAGAGTTACCTTTCAGGATGACACGGCACAAATGAGATGTTCACTGGCTTTTGGTTGGTTAAACACGGCATTTTTTCAAGACAAAAAAACTAACATAAAGCTTCAGTGTACCAAGTATAAACAGCATTAAGTAGTTGAAATTTCCTGAGGTATTCTCAGACAGCTATCTCCTTCCCCACCTCCACACTACAATGACGGTCCTTTGGTCCAGTTTTTTTGAAACCCAGAAATAAAAGGTCTGCTATGTTTACCTTGCCCTCTCAGTGCTCTGCAGAAAAATAATGGCACACTGGAGTGAGCTACAAGGAATGCATACCTGTCTCTCATCTGTGGAGGCACAATGCCCTACTTTGCGACAGATTTCTCAGGAATCATCACGGTGATGACAAAAGGATGCAAATTTTTGCTCCTTTACAGTAATGACTATGTATTAATACATTTATACATTTAAACAGCAGGGAAAACAGCATATTTTACTTACACATTACATTTGTCAAATAGAAATGAAATTAATTTCACAAATTTTTGCAGTCTTCAAACAAATACTACTCTTAATATGAATAAGTAGCACTTCTTAGAGAGCGTCAAAGCCACAATTTTTCCACCCCGTGATCCCAATGTCAGCAAACTCAATACAAGAAAAAACCCAACTAAAAAAACCCCAGGTTCATCTACTGGTACAATACATGCAAACATTGTACTGTACAACCCTGCTCAGATTGCCCAGATATGTGTTAAAATGCTTACAAATATATCTTCTACAATCAACCAAAACCAAGTAGTAAATTAACCCTTTTTTGCAAATCTCATCTCATATATAAATGCAATATACCCTCAGAACCCATCTAAACAAGCAGAGGTAGCGGATTTGAGAATTTCCTAGAAAAATCTATTTTGAATCAAGACTGACTGCCTGGACAACTACAGAGCAGACTGGGCAATGTGTGTGAAACTGGAAAAGGGAAATAGAATAACCAGTCGTTTTTTCAGGGAAAACAAAACCAAATATAAAAATTATAATATAAATAATATTAACATACCTGGATTGGTTCTTGCTGCTTAAAAACAGGACCAAGATCGGGTAGAATGAGCTTGATATATTCTTCTTTGGTGCACTCCTCAGCAATTAGGAGAACATTAGGCAAGACAAAGGGTACCATATCCGGATTCACAAATTCAGAAGTCAAACAAGGCAAAATTCGCTGAATTACAACACGCTAAAAGAAAAAAAGACCCAAGTATGAATCACATACTGCACTGCAGTAAGTTATCATTGAGCAAGTTCAGCAGCTTTTCTATTAGCCTGATACTAACACAAAAGTAGACAGATAATTTTCAGTTTTGATCTCTTATTTGCACAGCACACTATAGTTAATTTACACTGTGCTACTCTGCTTAACTTTCTCTGTTTGCACTCAAAACTAACAACTGTGAAGATCAACAAAAAGCAATTAACTGCACAGAAAACAGGACTTTGAGCCACATGAGTTATGAATACCCCATATGCTTTCTTTAAAAATATCCTAACAAAACCCTAAAAAATACCCTTTAAATCCTCCGAATTAGTAATTTTTTTGCTTATGTATCCCATCATTCACTGAACAAACAGATAATCCCACTAGAACTTCCTATAAAACTCCAGATACATTCCCTATATAGGATTCTGCTGATGAAATAGATATTAAAACTGTGGATGTCTACTGTAGCATTAAGACATCCTTAAATGCTTTTGACATCAATAACAGAAATATACGGTTCAAGGGCACAGTCACTTCCCTCACAAAATATACTTTCAAGACAGAAAAACAATAAAAAGAATTCCCTAATGATGATTTGGTCAACCAGTCTAAAATTAGGTAAAATACATGCCGGGTATTTCCAAATTCAAAGCAGCAACCATTTCTGATCAAATGAAAAAACTACTAAATTAAAAAGAGTAGAGTATTAACTATGGAGTCTTAATGTTGCACTGTGTAGGGCAAAACAGAATTAAAAATATAGACTTTTAATGCACTGGTTGAGAAGCTCAGTCATTCCATTATGTACTGAACTAATTCTACTTTTCTATCACATATGAATTAAGGCTTATATAAACTAAGGTGTACCACAAAAGGAAAGGGAGCCAGTCTATACATATTGCTTAACACTGCACAGGAGAAATAAGTAATGACAGGCATTTGCCTTTGAGATTTCTGAGCACTGCCAGCACAAGAAAGCACTTCGTCTACTGAGGGAAGGAAGCTTTGCATCATTCAGCATTAAAGTACTGCCGTGCTATGAAAAAACTTGAAGCAATCTTATAGGAAGGTGGCAAATTGGCTTCAGAGAGCTACGATGGCATCTGGAAACAGGGAAAGCCTTTAAGTGGAGAGAAGACAACTCCCTTTCAAACTGGGATAAACTACAACAGGACACGCAAATGATGGTTCTGTATTTGGCTTATTTGCCATTTTCCATTTAAAGTATTATTGATTGCTAAGGAATATTTCCAGAATAAGCATGTTCTAATCTCCCTTTATTTCCTTCCACTCTATTCTGACAGTCTCACAGCAGTCTATTATGGTACAATGCTACAGAAAGTCCAGCATTCCAAGAGTCAAAATGCTAACAGACATTCATATATTTTCAAGCTTGCTGTTACACAACATCATTCAGACATACCTTAGGTAGTTTTGGCAGAACTTTTGGTAGTCCTTTAAAAAACTGTGATTTCTGCAGGTTATCTCTTTGAAATAATGAATCAAAATACTGAAGCGTCATTGCTCCTACATCATCAAAGAATGGTATCTAAAAATAAGATTAAAAGGTTTTGATCTGGAGGGAGACAACACTGACACTGCTACAATAATTCCAAATTAAAATCATCTATCTACCCTTTCAATGCATGACAGTAAGCCTTTGCAATGACATGTCTGCAACTAACAACTAGAAAACTGAATTTTTACATACCAAGTAGTAAAATATTCAGATACAGGTTGATTATTAAGACAGAACTTTCCTAGAGAATTTTTCAAAAACCCATGCATGTTATGTGTATCTAAGATAAAACATTATTTCATATACAGTAAGTGGCTTACAAAAAAAATGTAATGTAAAAATAAAACTTTGAATAAATATTCTTCCAGGAATAATTATGCTACATTATATTACAACACAGGATTACCTACTCAGTCATCCACACCTGGCTCTCACCCCTGGAAACTCCAGAAACCCTGGAAACTCTGATCTCTTTACCCTATGAATCAGTGTGCAGATATGGTAAAAGAGACTCAACATCTTTATAAAACCATACTGCTTAGTACAACCCCTTACAGATTTGTTTGTTGTAGTCCTTCAGACAACTGATACCCAAGAAATATCAGCCAATTCCCTGACTCCCATCTTTCAGCATATAGGTAGACAAAATCATCACCTGCTCCCTCTCCCTTCTTCACCCATTGCTTCCTTCAACAGTTAAAACACTGATTCCTATCTCTGCATACCATCTTTTTACACCACAGGAAAATAATAAAATCCTTTAGCAAAACAAAACTATGAGCAGGAATTTGAAAGGCTATTAGATTGGAGAAAATGGGGTGTAAGACAAGGGAAGAACAATGCTACTTTCCGATAGGAAAACGGAGCAACAGTTTTGCCAAATTAAACCTTACATTATATCCTGCTTGCAATTAAATTTTGCTTTGTTAGGGCAAATAATTTCTGAATATACTTTATTATTCTGCATACTTAAGAGTACACAAAAAATCATAAGCCAAAAGTTAATCCTTACATTTACTGTCCTTCATAATTTCCTCACTTTCAAATCCTTCCGATATAAATTTCAAAGACTGAATTGTATTAAATCATAGCACCAAAAATCTTCTTGAATGGAAAGGAATAAAAGAGTGTTGCATTGAATAAGTTTTGAATAATATAATAATTTTTCTAAATTCTGTCTCAGCACCCACTTTTTCCATATAAATAAATGTCAGCATAAGGATAACTTTTGGCATCAACTAACATTACATTTAAATGGTTAAAAAATATTTAACATTTCAAATAAAATTATTAACAGAAAACACTTCAAAATAGTTATACAAATCAAACACTAATTTCTCTCTTTCCTAAGGCTACTGCATTTTCCAAAGACTGACCTTAGTCATTTGATCAGCATCTGGTCTGACTGCCGGAGCTACGTTTAGGAGCAGCTTTACATGCTCACGCACCTCCTCGGGTATGTTCTCAAGAGTACTGGAGCTTAAACGGCTCAGCTGTGGAAGTAATTCATGCATGAACACCATGAAGTCGGAAAACTCTGCATGTAACTATTTCCAATATACAGCAGGCCTATACTTTGTTCTCTCGATGGTTTCTCTATCCACGCATTTGATATCCCTCTCTTCTTGCTCACAGTCTTCTCTGTTTCCCAAGAGCCTGCCTGTTTTAGGTCCCACCCGTTTTTTCAACTTCCCACTGTAGTTCAGGTTATCAAAGAACACAAACATGGTATTTTAAACAGGCAAATGTCATTTTCTGAGGTGTTGTCTGCACACATGAAAACACAGTACATACTGTGGCAATAGGCACCCAAAGAACTTACAACAAAGGAAACCTGCATGTGAACAGACATTATGTCAGCTGATCCAATTAACTGTGACACTGTCCTCTGTTAATACTCCCAGTCCACAAAGAATGTGAAATAGTGATAGCTAAGTGGATACCAACTGCTGTGTAAAGTGACAAAATCACTCTAAACCCAGCCCTCTTCCATGGTCCTACATAGGTAATTCACTGCCAGGTGTTTCTTACTGTTCACCCCAACAGGTAACCATTACTTCACAAGACCAGCATTCAACAGGTTAACAGAGAAATCAGGAGAAAAATGCAATTTTTAGTTTATAAATTTGGTACACGTAACCTCCTCTAAACATATCTTTATTGCTCATATTTTGCTACCACTTTTTTTCTTGTTATAACAACAGTATGCAGGGTAAGATAACATTATCAGATGGTTTATGTTTGAACATTGATAGTGTTCTCAATACTTAAATCTATTTTAAAGTAGTAACTTTTCAAATACAAAAATCAACAAACAATAACCATAAAAAGAACAAATACCTGGTCCAGCTGTCTACTAAAGCTTTTATAAATATCTTGCTTGTTGACCTCAAAAATTGGTTTCCCTTTATTAAACACTGCATACATAACAGCTCCCAGAGAGTACATATCACTGGCTGTCTCACAGCTCACAGAGAGAATGTATTCTGGTGCCAGATACTCAGGATTTGGAAGACACAAGGATGGCAAGTTTGGATCCCATTCCTTACAAGGGAACTTTGGCTACAAGAGAATTACAAGAAGTGAAACAAAGTACATTTATCAAGGATTTTTAAAGACCATTTTCAAAAAGAAACTCGAGCAGCAAAAAATAATTAAGCCACTCAAATTCAATTATGAATCAAACAGCAACACAGTAAGGCAAAACTATTAAGAATCTCTGTCTGTAGCTTAAGAGCGATTTCCTGATGCAGATTTATCTGAATATTAGAGCTGGGAAATGTAATGTAAAATCAAAGCACTGCTGTAATGGGGAAACATGAGATACGATAGAATTCATTTTCAAAGGTAGCTGCCAGGCACTGAGTAAGTGCAACACACTCAGTTAGGCTTGCAAGTCATCCAACATGAAGGGGAGCAAAAGTGGCAGCCTCTGCTTGAAACCATCACTAGACTACTGTGACCCCACTGAGTCCACTCAAACTCTTTTTCTGAGATGATCAAATGCAGCACTTCAATCCAGACCTGTGCCATATGTTCTAACTTCTGGCCAACAAAATACAGAGGTGAATATTAAATAAATGGTTATATACTGGAATGCAAAATCATAAAACTGGTTTCAGGCAAAGACCTGAATTTGAAACTGAATTATGATAAAAATAAAGATTATTACCTCCTGTTCGGATGGATTTGTTGATTGGATACAAAAATCAAAGCCCATAATTTTCCATGCTCCACTTTTATTCAAGATTATATTTTCAGGAGTAATATTCCCATGGACCATTTTGACACTGCTATGCAAAAATGACAAACCTTCAGAAACCTGTTCATAAAAGACCATTATTGCAGGTTAAATATTTCCCCAAACATCCTATAAGACATTTACAAAAATTCTGTTCTTATGGTCACAGTTAAATTCCTAAGTTAACTAAAAACCAATTCTTCATATTTTAGCCTATGCCTTAAAAATTAAGCATAGAGAAATTAAACACAGATGGGTAATCAACGGGTGAGACTACTAATGTTAATGAACTACCACAGCCTAAGTGTGGTGGTGCATTCCCCTCTCCTCTCAGGCCACGTCATATCAGAAGAGTAAAAATGCTTTATGAAGCATTTATGAACATATTCACCAAACAAAACCTCGGAGCTAATGGTTCTACACAGAACATAAAGGAAAGATTCACATATGGAAGAGACAGCTGTAGCATAGACATTTACATGGAAAATAAAAATTAATTTAAGTTTCTGTTTTATATATCAGAACAATCAAAAAAAGAGTAGCAGCTTACAGCTTCTAGTGTTTATCCTCTTTTACACTTACAGTGATCAGGGCACTATTATGTCTCACCTCATTATTATTTGATTTACTACAGGCAGACAAAACTTTGGCAATGTACTGACTTCATTAAAAAAAAAATCATTAATACTAAAAGCAACAAAATTATAAAGACAACCTGTACCATACCTGAAGCAAACCATATTTGGTCTCCACGTCATAAAGTTTGTATTCTTTAATGTCTGATGGTAAAGGAGAAGGTAGGTTGTCCCAGCTGCCAAGAACATTAGCTAAACTTGCACAGACTGGTTCTGTACAAAATGCCAAGCAATCCCTGTATAGGAAATGCATTAAAAAATTTCTTGTACATAATTGTAATATATCTCTTGACGGCAAATAAAGAACCATACAAACTCCATATATATTGCCAAAGCACCAGGTGCTACCAAAAGCCGTGCTGTATTTCAGGTTTTGAATTCTTTTATTATACTAAAGAGAAACACATAAATGTCTGAAGTTTTAAAAAATTACTAGAATTAGGATATTTTATTCTTTAACATTCACATAAATCACTAATGAGTCACACAACACTTCGTAATTTTTTTTTTTAAACAATGCTTTCCTTGTCCTGATCTAGGACAAATTGATCAAGTAATTTTTCCTACTATTAAAACTTGCAAAATCAGACTTCTACCTATGCCTAAAACAAACATGTCCCTGACTTAAGCAGTACCTAATGAGGTCACACAATGATCAGAAACTAAATTAATATAAGGGAGCACCTGAATATTCTTTGACAACTGACAGAGAAGATCTGCAAACACAAATACACTTGTAATATGAACGTCAGTTTGCATGTGAAGTGACTGTTCTCTAAATTATTTTGACTTTTTTTCTTCATGAAAAATTAATGGTCTTGCAAATGCATTTTTGTGCCAATTGTGCTTGAAAATCTCAGAAGAAGCAAACTTCCATACATAAAGACTGGTCGTAACACTGTCAAAATTTCAAATTTCAAAATTGGTCCTGAATCCGGTATGTGTCTCAATTTCCCAAGCTTCATGCAGCACAGACAGAGTCATTCTTTACATCCTTCTTTGTACTGCTCTGCACAGCAGTGGAGGCCCTGGACAGCCATTGCAATTCACCCCTTAATTGTTTTAAAGCGCTTTTTTTGAGAAAGTACTATATGGATGTTAGCACACATACCTGCTTTAAGGATCATTAATTCATGAGAACAGTAAATACTGCATCAGTATGAACACAGAGAACTGAAACCAAGTAACAGCAACAAAGATACATTTTTGAACATAAAGTTCTAGGCAAGAAGACAAAGCCCAACTTTTTGATCATTCCATAAAAACATCAGAAGACACATCTCAGCAAGAAACTACCACATTTTTTTCAGTATTTCAATAATTGACAAGCTTGACCTTTAAAGTAAAATAAGGCTGCTGAAACATGCAAACCTCTTACTATCCATCCCGACTTTAGTTTCACCTACTGCCTCTCTAGAAGAAAAACATCTGAAAAGTAAAATACATTGAATGCTAAGTGTAAGCCAACCTGACAGAATTTTTTTGCTGGGTTTCCTCCCTTCCATTCTGATAATGACATACCTTTCATGTTTCTATTAATAAGACTAGGGTTATAAAACTTGTTTCTGTCATAAACACCAGCCAAAATGAGAACATAGAAAGACAAAGTATTTTCTTTTCAGTCTGACTTCAGCTTTACCACTAAGCTTATCCATTTAGTTATGGTTAAGGCATAGATGAAAATACCTAGGGAACAGTTATTCTGTGGTTTTCATAACAAACTCTCTGATTACTGCTGTTTTAAGGGAATAAAAATGGCCCTTTATTTTTTACTTTAGGAGGTAATTTAAAAAAAGGGCCCAAGCCACAGATGCAGTAAATCTAATTAAATAGCAGAATATTGCAGAAGGTGATGCCTGCCACACAGGGCAGCTGCCTTAACAGTTTCCTGAATAACATCAACATAAAATTCAGAGTCTTTAATGAGATAAAAACATTTTAAAAATAAAAAGTGACAGCTAAAAATACATATGCTTTCTACAGAGAAACAATGTAGCAAATGCAATGTCTAGTAAATTATAAGGGACAATTCACACTACTACTATTTTTAAAGGGTAGGAATGATATTATGAGTTAACCCACAATTTTTGTTTTTCATCCTTTTCTTCAATTACAAGCTAAATATAAATTAATAATGTTTTCCAGTGCTGTTAATGGAATTCAAGACCATTTGTAAATAAACATAACCATATTAAATATTTAGTATAAATAAGGACTTACTCATCTAAATGCATGTTAAGAGGTTTTATGTCATTATATATATTACGTACATTTATACTAAATATAACTATGTTGGATATCAATAATTTGTAGTAAAAACATTCCATTAATAGTGGAGAAACTATCTACACACTAGGGTCAGAAAGGTATGGCCTTTCTTTCTATATCTGCTTCAGCCCCAGGAGCACCACATATCTATTTGCACCATAAAGGAGGAATATAATGGATGACCTGCAAGCAGCTCATTACAACTCTATGTTACTTTGGGGAAACAGAAAAGAAGAAATATATAAGAAAAACAAAAAAAGATACAGTCTAGCTAGAGGCCCACAAGGGATTTCTTCAAGAATAAGCACTCTGGAAAGACCTGAAATCCTGAAGCAATCTTACAGCATGCTTGCACAAGGTACACACACATATATTTCACATAAACCTTTGTTTTTATTAATCTTCTCCAAAAACTGTTACATCAGTTTCTGACACAGCATGCAACTGTACAGGTTTTGTGCTTCTGGTGTTTCTACCAGCAGCTGAGTGCGCCGAGTATGGGAACAAAAACAGCAGAAGCAAAGTGTAAGGCATTACTAAAAACTCACACACAAGAACTATGATGTAACTACACTGTTAATTTTACTTAAAAGGTTTAAATGTTTCACAAGAACACCACCAAAGCTTTCTTAAAGGTATGAATCTTGGTGTCTTCTTCTGAAGGGCAAAGTTCAGGGGAAAAGCTGCTGAGTCAGCTGGAAAACTGTGACAATTTTAGGAAGAAGCCTGAGTATACTCTGGGATTCACTTGCACACACTATAATTTGAGATAACCCTAGGCCACTTAGCATGTAATAGTTTATTTACTGCTGTAGAGTACTGAGAGCTGTCTTCAACTACCTAATTGATTTGCTTTAGGCAATTGTAAGGGGCATGCTAGATCACAGGTGCAATGACAGCTTTGAACCCCTGTTAATGTGAAATGTGTTTAGCAGTGGAGGAAAGATAGATATGAATATGCAAGTGTAATTTAATCCAATAAACCTGCCTCAAAGCAGGCATTGCAAAGATGAAGAAGCATTCCTATAGTATTCTCAGCTCCTAGAAACCATTTGGAAAAAGTCAACACGGAAAGGAAGGACATTATGTAATGAATCTTCCTTCATCAGGCTACAATTCAGGATCACAGAATGGTTGGGGTTAGAAAGCACTTCTGGAAATCATCTAGTCCAACGCCCTTCCTCTTTGGGGAAAAAAGCCCTAAAACCTCCATGACCTTCTTTGGTAGTATCAGGATCAGCTTCCTCTTTTAACATGAAACCTCAATTTTCTTTGCTAGATTTTAGTGTGCTGTTACCCCTACAGCTGAAAAATAAATCTGTAAGACTAACCAGCGACCAGCCTTTCATAAATCAAATAAGCACCAGAAGAACATGCTGAATTTTGTCTCTCTTGATTGGTCCTTGAGGGCCTTTTCAACACATATTTAGCTACAACACATAAAATTTATCAAAAATCCCTAATCTCACATGTACTAAATACATCTCATACATGGAATTAAATGTATGGAAAGTATATATGGAAGTGCAACTGGACTAAAATCAAGCAATAGATTATTGATCCACACTCGAACTGCATTCTGTGGTGAGGGGGTGGAATAGGGGGGTAGGGTGAATACCTTGTCAGATGAACAAATACACTAAACTTGAATCTCATCAGATGTATGTATTGAATGCTCCAGACAGCTTACATCCACTACCAAAACAATGATTAAAAGTAACTGTTGTCTACTTTACTACAGCTTACCTGGACTCTTCTAATGGATGTTGTACAGTAAGTAGTCTAGGGTGTCGAAGCCTAGTTAGCTGTTGAACACCTCGTTTTAAGGAATCAATAATCTGATCTTTTTCAAATTTTTGGTACTTGTCTATTAGCTTCTTATCAAAGACAAAAACAGCCACTTCCTGAAAATAAGCAACAGAATTCTCTCAGTATATAATACAACCAAAATCTAAGCCTACACATAATTATATACAAATGTGTTTTTTGAATCAACAGTACAATCCCACTGATACAATAACCAAACAAAGAAACTGACTTGTTCTTACTTAGTCCCAGTCATGGGAGAGCTTACTATAAATAAACCCTGAAACAGACATTTTGAATTAAGGTACTAATGTTCCTTTATTGTATAAACACTAATGTGTAAACGATAACCCCTACCTATACAGTGACAAAGCAGAAGATCCACAGTCAGAAATCAGTTTAAGTAGATGAAAGCATTTATATCAACTATGAACAGTTAAAATATTCTGAGTATATATCAAGTGTTGCTTTATTAAACCAGGTTCTGTCTCAGTGTTCTGCTCCAAACAAGTACAATCTGACAAAATAGTCACAGTAGTCTATTAATCTGATCAGACCATTCACATGATAAAACATTAAGAATTTTGTAATGCTTAAAGAATGTTAAAAACAGAGAAATCCTCTCCAACTTTAGCAACTGGAGCAGGAGAAAATTAATAAATTTGTACAAAACTTTGAAATTACAGAGGTTGATGTAAAATAAAAAATTAGATTACATCACCATCTGGGAAGTTGTTAATGTGAAATTTATCAACTGATGTAAAAAAAGGCACTAAAATCTTTCATCATGAAACAGACTTTTATATGCTGCTACAACAGCATTATGAATACTAATAAAGGTTAGAAAGCAGAAAATAATATGAAAATACAGTCTGCAGGACTTGATGCTCTTTTACTGCACATTTTATAACCATTACTCTAATTAAAATCTCACAGGAACAGCTTCATTATTAATTAAATAAAACCCTATAAACTCTTAGAAATAGGCTATCCAAAACATGAAATTCAGCCCAATACACAAAGAAATGGTTTTTAGTTATTTTCATTAAGCCCTTAGCAAGTGAATACTTGTAACTAACTAAGTACACTTTTCCTGCCTCTATCCATACTGGCTCCCTGCTCCAGCTTTTAGGTGTAATGGATCAAACATTAACACAAGGCAGAGCAGAGCAATGACAGGAGATGGAAGAAATACACTGAGCAGTACATGACCAATAACAAAATTTCAAATTAAGACTGCACTTCTGAAAAAAACTCTGTTTACAAGTGAAAAGAATCAGAAAGTGAGTATTTAAACCAACTGTGGTTTGAATATTTTGTGATGAGTCTAAGTAAGTTCTATTGCTGCTTGCTGCAATCCTGCATGGTTTGTTTAAAGTCATAATTCCCTGCACCTGGCAGAACAGAACAGAATTTGTGCTTCAGATCCTTAAGGAACCAGCTGTCTCAAGGCCATTAGGTCCCTCTTGACTGTCTGTAGCCTTGTTGTTGGAACTTACCTTCTGAATTCTGCTAGCTTTACAACTGAGCTGGCAAGTGCTTTGTGACCTTACCCTATCTATTTATGATTGCACTTTCTAAGCAGAAGGACAAGTGCCATATTGTGCCAAAAAAAAGTGTAAGTGCATAAAGTCTAAGTTAATAAATTGAAGACAAGCTGAAATACATACTGTGAAATTATACACCTATATATAACCAGAGTGACTCATAAATCTTTCAAACAAACAGCAGCAGATCAGCTATGAAATAGCACCAGACAAACATATGCACACAGGTAAGTAATTTCCTCATATTCTGTTAGGTTGTTACTAAGTCACTTACACAGTAAGCAAGAAAAGACAAGGTATGTTAAAAAATAATAACAGATAAACATTCAGAAATCCTCGAAAAGCAGCAAGGCAGGAACCAGGCAGAACTCAGAAAACAAAAATACAGTTATAGATATCTACTGTCACCAGAGATGGAATATTTGTAACTGTCCACTGACTCAAAATAGGAACAAAAAATAATCCTGAAAACAAAGATTTCTGATGGGATCTACTGCTTTAACATTAAACCCTCATGGAATATTTGTAACTGTCCACTGACTCAAAATAGGAACAAAAAATAATCCTGAAAAAAAAGATTTCTGATGGGACCTACTACTTTAACATTAAACCCTCCAAATTTAGTTGTTTTATCTGGCTACAATGACTTAAACGATTAAGTCTATTAGACTTGTAAGACTGAAACTATTGTGTTGTGGTAAAGTGACAACAACAATTAAGCCCTTACATCCCACTTGTCTAATTACAATACACACTGCAAAGAAAAACCCTTATAGCTTCAACTTAGATATACACACTTGTAATACAGCAAATATGTGCAAATTCACAAAAGTGACTGCTATCACCTGGAAAATGACAGCCAGCCCAAATAACATTCAGAAGGTACATGGGAAAGAAATAAAAAATAATGTTAAAGAACATCTATTGCAGCACAACACACCGTAAGCTGTATTGCTGCACAATTGTTTTGCAATGGTAAAGTGAATGTTGACATGATGTTACCTAACTGGTAATATTAATAATGAATGGTAACTGCATGTCAAAAGACCAGCCATCTAAAATTCCATGCAGTACAACTGCTGCTGTATTTTCAATTACTAATGATGGCATACAACTGCACAGATGTTAGTCAGGGTTTACAGATACATTGCAGGATCACATGGAGCACCTGAACACCTGACAGGAACCTAGTTAAATATACTCTGTCAACTATACAGTGAAAGAAACTTGCTACAACTCTCCAGACCTTAAGGATATAGCTGCTACAGGTCAAATGCTTACTGGGCATGTAGATTGTATAAAACCTATCAAAATTATCATGGTTCCAATGTTATCACTTTGTATAGCTGAGTAAGACCAAAAAAAAGCCCTAGTCAACTGCTGTGTTGGGTAAATTCAGTAAATAAAAGATGCTCAGAGCTCTGCACCAGCTAAAAATATGCATGAAAACATGGCAAAAGTACCTGATTAAACATTGCTCAGACTCTGTCACACAGAATCAGATCACACATTCTTTGCAGATTATTTATTCTATATACTACATGTATCTATTTGCTACTGTTTATTTGCCTATGATCTAACAGACTGTATTAACATTTTCCAAAGTAATTTCTTTGTGTCCATTTCTTTTTGGTACATTTGCAGCAAGCTGTTGCATTGTCTAAGTGACTCCACATTACTTAGCTTTACTTTTAACCAAAGACTGTAATTTATTAACACTTTTATTTATACTTGGAAATTTGTATTTCCTCCCCAAATTTGAAAAAACACTTTTCACATTTCTCTAGTGCAACAAAATAATTTTCTGTAATAATAATTCTTAAAACTCTGTTTTTTGCAAACCTTCTTCTTAAGTCACAATCCCATATTCATTTATACATATATTCAAGTGAGTCAAAAGTTTGAGTATTGGTGCTCTAAACCCCAATACTTTAAGAAACTAAAAAAGAACAATACTGATCTGAAAGCAGCACATGGAAAGCATAACCAACTTCCTTCACAACCTCCTACTCTATCCCATGCCTTCCTGTTGCAGTATCTCATAACTTAACATTCCTAACTGCTCAATTTCTGCACCATAACTAAGCAAAAAACTACAGTACTGCTGACAACAAATGATGACATATTTTATGATTATTTTAAACTGTAAAAAGACAGAATTGTTACCAAAAAAAAGCTGCAAGCTGCAACAAACTGGGGAACTAATCCATGTTAAAGCAAACTTCTTCCTTCTTGTCAGATCACTTTTAACTCAGATGAATTCTTCATCTTGGTTCCAAATTTTATGCTATGAATGCAGAACCCCTTCTTTCTCCAACAAAAGGCTTAAAGCAAGCAATACTTACATATCTGAGAACAACGTACTCAAATAATGCTGAGTTTTTTGTGTCATTTCACTACCCATAACATTAGCCTGTCCAGTCGGACTTTAACTGCCACTTACCAACTGCTACCAATCAATCTGTCATCTAATGTTTATAAACACAGGTCTTCACTTGATAACTCACCTGCTTTGTTGACTTTTTAGTTCCATTAAATATCTTCCAAGCAAGACCATTACCCCCACTGGCAATATGTCGCCCGACATCAAATTCCCTGGTGACGGGATTTCCCATGACAGCACTGGTGACATCAGCTGTCACCTTTGTGACAGTGCTCTTCAGCTTGTTCAGCATGGACTCCATGGTTTCAATTTGCACCGATGGCTTATCCTACAAAGGCAAGAAAACAAGGGTTTCACAGCCCTCTCAATTCAACCATTTCTTGAAAACTGTAACCCAATAATGCAAAGGATTTATAAACTGTCCCCCAACAGGAAAGGTTCACACTCTGTGTATTAGAATACATCAAACAGAAAAACAAATCTGAAGGAAAACAGACTCCTTTAATTCCAGCGCTCGCAGAACTACTCATTTGTCTGAAGTGAAGGATTGCTTAAGATTGCAGGCCAGCAAAATAATGGATGTGTATCATACAGACAGCAAGTAAAAACAGAAATATTCTTTCCTATGCAGTGCTTTTCAAAATACAAGCTCAAAAATCAGTATTTTGCCCGTCAGACTTCTGACATTGCCATTTGTATGATCCAATGATTAATGAACTTAAGTATTAAGTGCAGGGGAAGGAAACAAGAAACCATCTTTTTATGCTTTACCAAAATTGTGCAAGGAAGCTTTTTTCACATCACCTTTCAAATTTTAGAGCTAAAAGACTGTGGCAACTTCCAATTTACTTCATCTTCCCCTGTAGTATGGACTTTCAGAGTTTTCTATATTTTCTTAATAAATCTGACTTGTCTATTTTGCCAGATACAAGTTCTGAAGCCATTTATGCAATTGTTTCCTCTGATAATGTATACACAAGAAAGAATGAAGGCAGCAAACAAACAGCAGAAAAAAAAGTATATATAGACATTCATCTTCCTTATCTGTGTGAGCAAAGAAAAAGAGAAATTATTTCCTGGAATCAGTATTATGCAGAATATTCAAAAGCAACACTTGAGGATATTTCTTCAGTCTCTCTTTCAAGTAAGATGTAAAGACAACTGCATCCTTCAGTCAAACTTTACCAAAATCAACCACACTGAAGCTACCTGGACATGCACTCCTTCTCTCCCTGGTACTATAGATTTGATTCAACTACAAATCAGGACAAATAAGCTGATTAGGTTTCAATTGCAAAGACAGACCTGTAATAGAGGTCTGTAAATATAAAAGAGGTAATAAACACACTAAACAAAACTCTTTAAGAAGCTCCCTGTGTTATGGGACAATTCCCTCCGGTGCAGCTGTGTGTAACTGTATTAGCCAAGCCCCAAGCAAACCTTAGCACAGTGCACATGAGGAATAGCTGTGCTGTTCTATCTTGACTCTTTAGATATGAGAAGCTGTGTCTGAAATAAACAAGACAATCTGAAGAATAGCTAAGAACTTATCTGGTATCTAGTTAGTGTTTTGTTGAGAACATAGCTTTAAATAAATTATGGAAACATAGAATTCCTTTATTACATAATTTTATTTCAGTAATTGAAATATTATTATTACAAGAAATTAATTTTACATTATGATTCACAATATGGAAAAACACATGCAAATCCTAACTGTGCAGCCCTACACCAAACTTCTATGAAGACACTGGCTAAAATCCCCATATGAAGAAACTTTTCATTAACCTAATAAATAGGCACAAACAAGGATCATGGATTATTCTAAAAAGGAGCTACAGGCATTTCTAGCTCTCAGCAATTTCATTCGGCAGCTATTCTGTGGTCAAACTCTATATGCTAAAAGACTATAAAGTCAATCCTAATGAGTTTAAGATAATCCCAAATCAAATTACTTGGGTTTAGATCTCGTGCTTTTTCCATTGTTTTGTTCATTCCCAGCCATCCAATCTTCTCTAGTACCAATGCAAGACCATCTTGTTAGGACTCTAAAACACTTTGCAAAATTAATTGCAGAAATATTATGAAGAAAATGCATGTGGATACATGTTCAAATTCCTTTGTGTAAACCTGAAAGGAAGCTTCTCTATAGAGATGGTGGTTAAGTGGTGTAGAATTCATTAAATCAGAAGTGTTCTCTGCTGCGGGTGACAGACAAACTGCAGTGAATAGCCTGAAAAAGCCACTAGGTGAGAATGAAAACAGCATTCCAGTATCTGAAGTGCTAGAATATAAAATTCAAGCCTGGCAGACCCTGTCCAACCTGTTCCCCTCCAGCTTGATGGTAGGCAAACTATTGTTTAATTTAGCTTCTGAGCAAGCAGTACCAAGAAACTTATTTCTCAATAAGCAGACGGGGTTTAAAGTTTACATCTACCTAACTGTAAATTTGTAGAAATCCTCTTATCAACATTTGAATGTAAGCTAAAATTGTGTATTTTGCTTTATAAAAACAACTGCTATTACCAACTTCAATAAAAAATTTATACATGTCAACAGGAACAATGTACCTAGAAAATCCATACCCCACCAAAAGAATCTGTTTTGGATAGTACCTCTAATATCACAAATAATGACACGTTAACCACATCTGAAATACATAAGTCTAGTTCTCATCAGTAGGAAAACTTGTTTGTTCAGTTAAGACAGGTCTAGTATTTCCAAAAAAACCCCCAAAAAACCAAGTGGCAATAAAGCCAGTCACCCACAATGAAATTTACATTTCAAGTTAAAAGGTAATAAATGAGAAAAATGCAAAATCTGAAGTATAACAATGTCTGGACAAGAAACACAGGACATGCAGTAAATGTTTAAGAACTCTTCCTGTTTGAATTTCATGAGTAATATTAATGCTACTGATTCTGAGTCCGTGAAACCTGGAACTAATCCTAAAAAATGCTGAATGCTCAATATGTTTTTTCATGAATGCCCCTCACAATCAGGAATGGTTTTTATGCTGTACATCAGCAATCATACGGCAGCATGATGAGAACAAACACTCAGCAAGGTAGTAAGCAACAACCAACACTGCACTCACACAGGAGGCAGAACATTCAAAATGTTGAAACACAGACTGTTGAAATCCAAAACAAAGACTGTCCACCATTTTTCAATTCTCACTCATAAAAATGATGCAAATGCATAATGCAAACCCAGCAGTTTAACCTCAAACTAATTCATAGCTTCACCTGATGTATGGCTGTGCTGCACACTGCACAGTAGCACAACACACACTACCACTATTCTGAACTACATCAAGCTGGGATCCCCTTTGGGAGCCAAGACCAGCAGGCTGGTGCGAAGCTACTTCACGCCACTCAACCGCATCCCATCCACCTGCCCCAAGCCAGGATCAATCCAGAGGAGTAAGTGCTGGAACAACTGAGTCACAGCAAACAAAAGGACAAAACCCCAGCATTTTTAAAGCACAACCAGTCTTCTGCATTTGTTACAAAAACATCGAGAGGGTCAAATGCAATGAAGCACTGTGCAAGGCTGCCCTCGCCGCACGTTACCTTAACTTTCATGCACCACTCCGGTACTGAGCTTCAGCTGAATCCCTACCAAAACCTCACGGAACGAGATCCATGAACACGGTTCTGTCTGTAGCCTGGTGACAGGTGAAACCCAGCCCGTGCGCTGCACAAATCCCGGTAAGCCTCCTGCGGGCCAGCCCTCCCGGATGAAGTATTTACTGTTATTTACAGCGAGAGCGGACTCGCACCGCTCCGCGCCGCAGGGCCGGTGCCTGCGCTCCCTGCTCCGCGGGGCAGCCGGGAGCAGCGCGCCGGGGGGTGGGCACAGGCGGCAGGTGACCCACGATCCGCCGGCTCGGGCAGCTCAGCGATCCCCGCCCGGCGATCCAGCCTCCGGGACGGCCCTTCCCCTCCAGCCCTCAGCGCTGGGCACCCGGGACCCGAGCTCACCGCCCCCCCGAAGCCGGCCGGCCCTGCCCGTCCCGCGCAGCGCCACCAGGCCACGGGCAGCCACTGTCGACCCGGGCCGCGGCCTCTCACCTGAGCCCGCGGGAAGCTGCCGGCGCAGAGCCCGGCTGCCCGTCGCCCTGTGGGCCCGGCGGGCCGCCTGTCACGCCGGCTCCGTCTCTCGCTCGGACCCCGTCCTGCCGCGACTACTCCATAGTGACGGCGGCAGCCTCGGCGGCGGGGCGGGAGCGGCTGGAGCTCGGCTCACTTCCGACCCGCAGGGGCGGCGCTGGGCGCGGCCGGAGGCGGCAGGCGGGAAGTGATGCGCTCCGCCGGCTTCCGCCAGCGGCCCGGCCGCGGCCATGGCGGGCTATTTGACTCCGCGCTTCAGGAGGATCCGCAGCCAGAGCGAGTTGCAGCCTCGGCGAGGGAGCGGGCGGCGCCGAGGTGGGCGAAGAGCGTCATCCCCGTCTCTCCGCCGCAGCAGCTTTTCCCCCGCAGTGTCGGAGGCGCCGGGGAGTGGAGCGGGCTGCGAGGCGCCGGTGCCTGCCCGTTGTTTGTGCTGGCACCCCCGGCTGCCGGTGCCGCGGGAGGCGGCGGGCAGAACGGAGCTAGGGAGGCTCGGCAGCTGAACGGGGGGGAGAGGAGCTTCCTCCGGCCGTACTCCGGAGCTGAGCTTACGGGGGACGCCGCTGGTAGGGCTGGGCGCGGAGCTGGGCTGGGTGCCAGGCGCGGTTAATGCACGGTTAACCCTTGTTTGTTGTCTGCTGAGCTGGGCATGATGTGTGAGGATCAACTGGGGACTTCGGAGCACCTCCCCCAGTGGGGCTGAGAGCGCTGGGGCTGCTCAGCCGGGATAAGAGAAGGTTTGGGGTGTCTACAAAGATCTAGAGAGAGTGCAAGAGTATGGAGGCAGACTCTTCAGCGGTACCCAGAGAGGTTGTGTTGTCGTGTGTGCACATCTCGGATTCTGGAGATACTCAAAACCTGGTTCTGGGCGGCCAGCTCTGGGTGGCCTTGCTTGAGCAGGGAGGGTGGACTAGATAGATCCCAGAGTCCCTGCAAGCCTCGGCTGGTTTGTGATTCTCTTATCATTTAATGTGTTTGTACACAGCACATACATGTAATATGTGTCGTTGTAACAATGACAAAAAAAAACCTTTGTCACCTGTTTTTAGTGGATTTTTGTTCTCTTCTCTTGACTCTACTATAGTGGGTGTGAGCTTACAAGAAGGCCTGACTCATTAAATATTATCTTTGTAAAATTCAGCTGGTTTCTGAATATTTAAAAAAATATAGAACTAAAATCACATTATATATTTTTAAGTATTAAAGTAAAAGTTTATAAATTTGTAAAACTTTATTGTAATCATTTTGCAGACTGTGATGGTCCTTTTCAAGCAACTCAGCTGTGGAATAGTATTATACGTGCCCTTCACAATCAAGTGGAAATCAAAAGACGTAGACAACACCTGAAAACATATAGAAACTGTTTCACCGGCTCCAATGCTGTTGATGTGGTACTGAGCCATCTTATGCAAAGCATGTACCTAAGCTGCAATGATATTTCTCGGCTAAAGGGGGTCCGTGTATGCCAAGCGTTGATGGATCACAAAGTGTTTGAGCCAGTTGGAGCCAAGCTTTATTTATTCAAGAATGGGAAGGAAACTGAGTTTGAAGACACGTACTCTAGTCTCTATAGATTTGTAAATAGCAGTCTTGATCCTCTTCTTCCAAGAAAGAATATGGACAATGAAAGCTTATCTCCTGAGCAAATCTGCAAACAGAAAACAAAAAGATGTTCTAAGTGAGTTACTCTGAACTGTTCTAATTTTTTTTCTTTTTTTTAATAAGGAGGGTTACCTTTAAATGAAGCTATGTCTGTCTAAACCAGGTGTTGGAGAATTCTGAAAAGTCTCTGCCAGTTTTGAGAAACGTTATGTCTAAATTGTAGATGCTTCCAGGTATTTCTGGGTAAAGTATTTTGATTTGCTGTTTGTTATTTGGAATAGAGTCTGGCACAGTAGCATAAACCTAGGAATAATTTGGTTTTGTTACCAGTTGTACTGACATCTGAGGCTTAGCAAGAATGAGCTCATTGCTGAAAGCCAGTAAACAAAGTGGAACTAGCAAACAGTATTTGGAATCAATATCCTTGCCCTTTCCACAAAGTACATGTGGATGATAGGAATTCTAGTAGCAGATTAGACTCTAGATATAATGAAGCTCTAAAGTTCTGATTTAAGAGCAATTTAGTAAGTTTATTTAATTAATTAAATTTAATTAATTAAATTTAAGAAAGACAAATGTGTTCTAATACTATTTGTTATACATCTATTTTCTCTCCTCCCTAAGCAGAACAAAGTGTGGCACAACACTTTCAAACCCCTTAGCATTGGAAGCAGCTGATAAAAAGAGGATTGAGGACCTTCTTCAATCAATATATGTTCATGCATCTTTACCTCCAAAGATCATGGTTAATGAACCAACTCGCTTGCTTTCAAAAGGAGGTGAGGATTGAATTTTTTCTTTTTAAAACTTGATTGTTCTTCACTGTATCTTGGAGTGAGTGCCCCATTTCTATTAAACAATGCTCCACAGAGACGTAAATTTAACCTGTGTTAAAGGGGTTAATGCTTGTAGTAACTAAACAGAGGGAAACACAGCAGGGTTATGTTTTTGCATAATGGTGCTGTTTATGAAAATACTACTTCAGAAGGAAGTAGGTCTTAAGATTAAGACTGTCTTTATTATGTGAGTGCTTTTCACTTGTATTTTTCTTCTACTAATTAGAGTAGTTTATTCTGAATCCTAATATGATGGGGGAGACTTTTTTTTTTAGCATTCCTATTTTGATCCCTTCTTACCCAGCACAGTAACTTTACACTGTGCTGTTACCATGTTTTCTTTGAACACTTAAAAGTTTCTTTAGTGAGTAAAAACAAAGGTTAGTTGTTTACATAAGATATTGTTTCTGAGGGTTTTTTGTTTGTTTATGGTATCAGTAATAGAAGATGTCTGGAAACAGCAAGCTCTGCTACGACTGCTGCAGTTAATTGATGTTCCCCTTCTAGAAGATATCTTGGTGTCTTCAGTGAAGACAAAATCAGACAGTTTTGGCAAAGAAGAAGACATGATTTTCTCAAATACTTTCCTGGACAGAGAGGTTACGTGTAGCTTAAACTTGCCCGAGTAAGTTATACATCTATGAAATGAATTTGTTAGTAAAGACTTTATTTTAGTCTTGATCAAAGATTTGTGATAAGTCAACAGATAGACATCATTATGCTTGTGTACTTGTAGAGAGGGGTGGCATTAGTGTGATTGACTTCTTTTCAGAAGTGGTAAGTGATTTCACAAGAAGTATATGTTTAGGGTTGGACACTTGAGCATCTCAAGTAAACATTAAAACTTTAACCTTGAATGTTGTAAACATTCCTAGTTTCTAGACCAGATTCTTTACTCTTGGGTCGCTGTAACAGACATCAGAACTTGAAAACTTTATTCTGAGTCTTTGTCACAGTTCCTGGTGGCTGTGGTGTGAAGATCCACAGTCAGTAAGGCATCTGTTGTTAGCAAGAGAAAAGGAGAGACTAAGCTGTAGCACTGAAGAATGCTTATATAATGAGAATATAAATGTGGCTGTATGTTGTCAGTGTTCTTTTCCTTAAATCTTCTCTTACTTTTCTAAGTAAGTGTTCCTGTTTAGTGTACTTAGGCTGATCTCTATCCTGCATATACTTCTGAGGAATACATCAAGGCTGATGTGAATGTCTTTTGTCAAATGACTATATTTGTCAAATTAATTCAGTTTTTTCCTGCAATTTCACAATCTTTGTTTCTGTTCTCCATGATAAAAATAAGATTCTGTGGATCTTAAATAATATTTGCAACTTGCCATTGGTTCAGATCAAATTATTTTACATCCAGAATCAGATAAAAGTAATTGTTCCTCTGCCCACACATTTCTATGATTTTACATTCCTTCTATACAAAATCGTTGAGACTTTTTCCTCTGATCTTCTGGCTTCTTTCAACAATAAATTATGCACCCGAATTTTAGGTGCATAATTAGGTTATATCTTCTTCCCTTAGTCAAGATATAGAGACCAGTAGATGCTTGTGAAAACTCATGCCTTTATAGTAGGTTATATAATAAACTGCTTCTGTAATCCTCTGAGATTTAATCAACTTTTATTTCCTCTTTTTTTCAAACTGTCTTTTTTTCTGTAAAGATCTGGTGGGTTCTCAATGTGTGTGTTGGAGTAATGGTGGGGTGGTGTTTGGTTTTTAAATATTAGCTGTATTCCTGGGGTCAGTGACAGTCTGGCATGCTTACATCTTGTTTTGGTCTGGGTTTGTCTCAGGTGTATTGCCTTTAGTGTAGGAAAAACATGGAAGTTGCTCATTTTGAGCAGGTTCTTGAACTGCTGTAGTGAAATAAGTTACACAAACTGCTTAATAAACCAGTTCAGCATTGTGGTTCATATATGTGACTATACCTGCATGGTTATTTCTATCTAGTTTTCTTTTAAAGAATTAAATGGACCCTAAGATAGCTCAGTTGTTTAGAGCATGGTGCTGATTACACCAAGATTACAGATTCAATCTCACAACTTAAGAGTTGGATGCAATGATCCTTGTGTGTCCCTTCTGACTCAGAACATTCTATGAATCTGTGAAAATAAAAATAGGTAGAGCATTTTAAAGCAAGCACTAAAACAACCTTTTCCTTCTACAGGCTTGACAGGTGGCTCTATGCTGCAATTGAATGCTTGGAGTATTTTCCTGACCAATTCCTAGTGATGGTTAGTCAGCAGTTACCTCAAAGCACTAACAACCCCAGCAGTCTGAATACATACAAGAAGATTCTTTTTGATGTTATAATGAAGTATTACAGTCAAAAGAAGGACTCTCTTCTTGCCACCCAGGATTTTGATATTCATTCAGGAATTATAGAACTTATAGGTAAGAGCAACCTGGAACAAACAATAAGGATGAAAGCTATGTAGAGGATGCCACTAAGTATCAATTGAGTGAATCATGACACCATTTGCAATGCCATTGCAGATGCACTTTTTAGGTTGGAAGGAAATGCTCAAGATCACTATTATGGACCTGTACTCAAGACAAGGACAAATTCCAAAGTTATATCAATTTGCTTAGGGCCTGGTCCATCTGAATTTTGAAAATCTGGAAGATAGAGATTCACCAACCTCTATGTGTACCGCTTTCAATATGTAACTACTCCCATTGTGAAAGTTACTTACCTCAGGTCAGAATTTGCCT